TTTTAAAATATCATAGATATTGTACAGGGTATCTTATAAATTTATAAAGTATCATAGATCTTGGACAAAATATTTTATAAATTTATAATAAATTTATAAAATATCACATATAGTTCAAGGTATATTTTAAATTTATAAAGTAATTGAGATATTTTACAGGGTATATGTTTTATATTTATTAAGTATCATAGATATTGTTAAAGGTATCTTATAAATTTATACTTAAAAATAGTTAATCCTAATGAAAAGCATCAGTAATGATGAATGTATATGTAGTGAAAATTACCTAAAAGATGCTATTGTCATTTGATATAGGTGGCCAATTTACAGAGGTATGATTGTTATTAGACTGTCCCAGTTGGGACCAACATGTACAGCCAGTGTGTAGATGATAGCAGCTAGAGTACAGAGTTACGATTAGCAATAGATTGGCCCTATTGGGACTAGATTGTAAGAGTTATGATTAGCATTAGATTGGCCCTATTGGGACTAGATTGTAAGAGTTATGATTAGCATTAGACTGGCCCTATTGGGACTAGATTGTAAGAGTTATGATTAGCATTAGACTGGCCCTATTGGGACTAGATTGTAAGAGTTATGATTAGCATTAGACTGGCCCTATTGGGACTAGATTGTAAGAGTTATGATTAGCATTAGACTGGCCCTATTGGGACTAGATTGTAAGAGTTATGATTAGCATTAGACTGGCCCTATTGGGACCAGATTGTATCACTAGTGGCTAGTGTGTCCCCAACTGGGAACAAAATATATCAGGGGGGGCAGTGTGTAGATGATGCCAGCTAGGATACAGAGTTATGATTAACATTAGACTGGCCCTCTTGCGACTAAAATGTATTGACCCAGAACACAAATAATTTTACTGTATATTCTCTACATTTATTTCTCAGTACTGAACTTTCCACTGTGTGACAATCAATGCAAATCATATGTTAATCAATACTACCTTCAAAGATGACTTCACGGTAAAGTTCTTGTCATAGGTTGACTGGCATTTTTTTAAGAGGCTGGACTGGAAACAAACCAATGTGCATTGAAACACAGATCTTATTACTCCCTCCACACACAGACACACACCATAAACTCATATTCTGATGAATAAATTGCCTTTAAATCCATATCAAGAATGCCTAAATCTAACTCTTGTATCACCACCAAAAGGAGACAGGAAAAATGCTCTGAAAATAGACTGGGACATTACAATTCTGGGTACTGAACTGGAACTTTTAATTTTGATCTGTATCCTAACAGTCACAATTTTTTATGGCCAATTTTAGTCACTTTTATATTTGCATGCCACACTTATTTCAGCTTTATACTTGAAATCTTTTGGAAATTCCTTGCGAGCAAGGCATGTGACAGCTGTCAGAAGGTGTGTAGTGCTGGTGTTACACAGGGTACAAGTTGTGGTCCAAGTGCTCTTGAGAAACCAAAGTTAAATTTGCTATATCTTCCTTAATTATAGGAATTTTTTAAATGCAATAAATGCATTTAAATGACCAATTTCAGATGGCAAAGTTGACTAATAAATGGTACTTAAAACAAATGGTAGTTTGGGTCTGTACAACTGATAACCTTTTTCCCAGGGATACTGAAGCATGATAGCTCACAGTGATTTTGGCAGCAGATTGCAATAGGCCTATTCAGATGCATATAGGTATACACACTAAAGAAACAAAGACACATGCTATGTTCCACATTTATTGTGTCAGGTACTTAGGCAGATGTTTGTATAAGTAATAGCACCCTAAGATTTAAAGTTTTTATGGGACCACTACCATGTTTTATAGCAAAAATGCATTCCTTTTCAGTGTTGATAACTACAAAAGGCGACAATGTGATAGAAAAATACAGCTCCAGAGAGGCTCTACATTACTGAACAGTGGTGCTGACCTCTTTTATGAATTATGAAGACCTAAGCCATGTCTTTGAGGTGCTGTATATCACTGTGGTGATATGAACTAATCTTGGTCACTTATGACAGTACACTGCACGTCCTTATGAAACCTTGCTATCACTGCCAGACTTCTGGAGAGCTTCCAAACTGATCCAACTCTAACACTTTGTTCCAGATACCAGGTTAAACCTAAAAAGATATAACATGTTTCACTTAATTCTAGAAAACATTAGGATGTAGGCAAATGAAGTTAAAATGTGTTAGATATGGTGATTTCAAAATAACATTAAAGTTGCAAGCACGGGAAAAAAATATTAAACTTGACAGAGTGACGCTCAGAAATGCGAAGCAATGGGCGTGTATTAAAGTTATAAATTTATCCTAAAAATATAAGGTTTCTAGAAGCATATTTAGCCATTTACAGGTTAAAAAAATAATCTGGTAGACTATGTATCATAAAGTTTAAGGCAATGTTGGGATGGTGAGGTTTCATCATTGATACAAACATTAGTACATACCAATTTACAGGAAAGTCAATAGACAATGTACTAAATTAAAATTTATTACTATAAGTAATCTTATTCATGAGGGAAAAAACAATTTTAGATATTGCAAGTGAATACAGCTAAACGTGGCCACACAGATCAACTATAGGCACCAATAGATCATATATCATCAACAAAATGTGAAATTCTGATTCCCAAAATTTATAAACAAGGATGGAAATTTGCATATGTGGGACATATACAGTGTACTTGTTAAGATCAAATGTGCAAACATGATTCAAATGATGTGCTTTGAATATTTATAGTGTATTTTTAAGAGTGTTGGTTACCAATTGTTATGCTCAATGATTTGTTGGATTCAAATATTAGCTGATGCTACAATACTGCAATCTATCAAAGTACTAAATTGAAGTATTTTACCATACAGAGGAATATTCATGATGAAAATAACATTTTGGAATATTTGAAGTGCACACAGCCATAAATGTGCCTTACAGATTCACTATTGGTACTCTCTCAGTCTATATGATGTACTGAATATTAACTTTTGATCCCAAACATTCTAAAATATATGGATATTTGTTCATGTCAGATATGTAATCATGTTAAGATCACTTACACAAAGTTAAATTCAAATAATCTGTTTGAATATTTCTTACATAATCTTTAGAGTGTCAGTTAGCAAATAATATTAGTAATTAATAATGCATGAAGCAAAATGGATCATTAGAATTCCCATATTCCAAGCCACAATGCTGCACTACATTAATCAATATCCTAATGACACTGAACACTAAAATGGAATGCATTTTCTGTTCAACTTGCATCATTTTGCTGTTTTCTTACATGCAAGGGAAAATATACCTGGGAAAGTATATTTTATCAGTTTGACCTGTATTTTATTCTCTGAGAGCTTAAATGACTTTGTAGAGAACTAGAGCAGGTTCTAGTACATGTGTAAAGTTTTCATCTCTGTCCTCTCACTAAATATCCTATAACTACATTTATAAACAATTACTGATAGCTGTACAAGCAAATATGTGTCACTCAGGAAATCATCACATCATAAACACATGAATTAACTGTTTGGAACCCTAATAAATAGTTTGAATGATGATAAAAAATATAATTTTGCATTTGTGTATTTTAAATGAAGGTCTCATTTTGACTTACAAAGATATTTTCTCTGACAAAATTTAAGAAATATCCACCAATGCAGCTTGTATATGGTGAAGGAATATATGCATGCTGATATCATTTAATATCATTCCCAATAAATATTATATATGTGCATTTTGGGGGTAAAAACTTATATTTTTAAAAAAAATTTAATTTAAAATTTTTAAATAAAATGAACTTTTTATGTTTAATTTCATTCTTCTATTTTCAATGTCAATGTACACAGCATATTAAAATTTCATATGTCTGTCATCAACAATAAAGATTTTACACCAACGTAAACTGGAATTAAATACTAGACTGACAGGACCCAGAACACAATTAATTTTACTATATATTCTCTACATTTGTTTCTCAGTACTGTACTTTCCACTGTGTGACAATCAATACAAATCATATGATATTCTAAACTATTTTTAAGGCTGACTTCACAAAGAAGTTCTTGTCATAGGCTCACTAGCATTTTTTTGAGAGGCTGTACTATAAACAAACCCACGTGCGTTGGAACACAGATTCCACTTCTGGATCATCACCAAGACTTTATTATTCAATGTACACTGTTGACAAAACACAGACAGACAGACAACCACACCATAAGCTCATGTTCTAAAGAATAAACAATTGCCTTTAAGTCCTAACCAAGAATGCCTAAATCTAACTCTTGTATCACCACCAAAAGAAGACAGAAAAAAATACTTAAAAAACAGACTGGGACTACATGTGTAGATACTGAACTAGAACTTTTAATGGTGATCTGTTTCTGTATGGCCAGTCTGTAGATGATAACAGGTTACAGAGGATGCAAGTCTAGGAAATGTTCACTGTAATTTAAATGTGGAATGACAAACACCTATGAGTTATTGATAAAATCATTATGTCTGTGATGTAATTGCTTCCAAACTTAAGAAGACATTTATAAAGGCTGCAAATTCATGCCAGGAAACTATTCTTTGTGATATAATTAAATAAAAATGATTTTATTATTTGGATAAATATTTAAATGTTTGTGTCTGTTGGGACCAGACAGGTATTTAATGCATTGGGTCATTTCTCTAGGATCATGAGAAAATTTTGGATATACTTCCACAGACTGTGTATTCTACATTGTATTGAATAACTGACTTTTCATTTTGAATCCTCTGCTGTTTCTTTCAACTTAGATGTTAACTGTAGCTTTTACACTCTTGCTCGGTCCTTATATGTCAAAGATGGCATTTCAGATCTTATCAATTACATGCATTTCATTTTAGATGTTGATGTCCTTACACAGGGTCTATGTCTATAATTGTAATTGTAGAGGCCTTGCTACACTTACTTTTGAAAATACCTTGTATACTTACTTATGAGTACAACTTCAAACTGCAATGACCCAGATCTGCTGTTGCATAATGTGCTGAACTGCTCCAGTGGCCAAATGGTTAGGGCATCTGCTTTGGATGTGGGAGGTCATGGGTTCGAACCCTGGCCGAGTCATACCAAAGACCTTAAAAATGGTACTAACAGCTGTCTCGCTTGGTGCTCAACATTAAGAGGTTTGTGTTAGGACTGGTTGGTGACTGGTGACTGGGTGGAACATCGTGCCACATGTCTGCAGCATGATGCCCCAGTGATATACATCACTATAAAAGGGGCCCCGAGTGGTCTAAATCGATGTCCGTTACGGATCACTGCCATCTCACCTCTCTCTGCGTGTGGTGTGTTCGAGTCTAGGATTCATTGAATGTGGATATGTGAGAAAGCTTGCCAGTAGCTTCTTTCCGGTGGTTTCTTCCTCCACCATTAATACTGGCCGCCATGAATAGCCTATCATGTGCTGAAAAATGGCGTTAAGTCCAACAACAACAACAAATTCACTATAAACTGTCACACTGCAGACATCATAGGAATATGACTGACAAACTGTTAAAGCTATGTTAAAAATCTAAATCACACACATGCATAATGTGCTAGCAAATCTGAGTCTGTGCTGTTTGTTAGGAGTTTTTAGTAGAACAAACAATATGCCCTGATGCAGGCACATTTATGTGATGGCAGATCAGGATTATTATCATTTGCAGTTGTATGGGACCAGTAAGTGAGGATATATGGTAAGTGTGGACTTATATTAATATTGGTGGGATTTTGAAAAGAAAAGGATGTTTATGGTTAGGGCATCTGCTTCGGATGTGGGAGGTCATGGGTTCGAACCCTGGCCGAGTCATACCAAAGACCTTAAAAATGGTACTAACAGCTGTCTCGCTTGGTGCTCAACATTAAGAGGTTTGTGTTCCTGATACCAGTTTCAGATGGTTTCAGTACAGGTTTTGAAAAATTGGCATGAATCCTGCAATCATAACTCCAGAATAGACCGTACATTTGTACTTGTTAAATTTACATCTTTCCTTTCCTTTCTGCTAAACCAGCTTAATTGGTCATTAGTTACCACTTGTTACTTTTCCAATATTAGAAAACTATTGCTCATTTCAGCTCACATTGTATGATCCACAGTGAACATTTTTGTTTTGTTTATGGTTATAATAATCAGAAAAAGCTTTATTTAAAGAAAAAGCTAATTTGGTCAACTGAGATCTTAGTTGATGATATGCACATTTATAACAAATTTAAATTTACATTTAAGAATCAGAGGTCAAACCATGTAAGGATTTACAAACTATTAAAAAATTTTGAAACTGCATTTTCTGCTGAAATGGAAGCCACATAAGGGTTTGAAAATGATTCATTGATGGTTTATCTATATCAGCATTAAGAATACCTATACCTGCTCTTTTTTGATATTTCAGTAATCTTTCCAGATTTTCTGTACCATTATTATCCAAGACAGAGCAGCAATATTCTAGGTGTTGCATGCAATGTTCATTCTAAGTTGTGCAGCTGCATTAGAAAATGCTGCACAGAATTTGGTAGCAAATACATATGCAACACATCAGTTTAAGAATTCCGTGCACACAGGAAAAATATTAGAGGCAATGCTTGTTGCATGATATTTGCATTGTAGAACATCCTTCTCTGTTCTTGAGGGAAATGAGATTTTATTCTGTTCAAGAGATAAAACAGTGAGTATGCTTTTTCTAATTGCCTTATCAACTAGCATTTTCCAGCACAAGATGTCATTTATCATGACACCAAATAGTTTTTATTTTCAGACTGTATATCCATTCCTTTTATCATTTCTTTGAAGTCATCTTTCTGAATTTTACTCTTGCTGGACTACATATGATCATGGCTTTTGATTTAGCTGCATTTTTCACTTGATACCATTGTGCTCACCCCAGTCATTAATTTTTGCCAAATCTTTATCTGATTTAGTGCTAAGCTCTGGCCTGTTGAAAAAGTGTTATATAATGTTGTATTATCATTGGTGGTTGAGAGCTCAATGTGATATGGTAGATCATTGATGCACAGAAGAAAGAGCAATGGTCAATGAACTGATCCAACACCTGACTTTATCAGTTTCTTATGTGAAAGTTTATTTAAAATATAAATATGTTGTTGCCTCCTTCAAGATATTATTGAAATCAAGTTAAATTTTCATGGTTAGCTTGATATATGGTAAGTTTTTCCAGCAGGATTTTGTGATTAACAAAGTCAAAAACTTTTTGTAAAGTGAAGAAACACTACCTACAGGGTTACCATGATCCATTGCTGTTAACCAATCATCCACCATTCTAGTTAGTGCTGTCTGAATGTAGTAAATTAAAAGATTCCAGGTTCTAAATTCATTACAAACATGTCCTTCTAATATCTTTGAAAGCGATGCTAAAACTGATTTAGGTCTCTAGTTATTCATATCAGAACTATCTCCCTTATGTAATGGCATTACTTTTGCCAGATTGTTTTGAAAAATACATGTCAAAATACTTATATTGAAGATATACATAAGTGAAGGTGCAATCAATTGAGTTGAGACATTTAGGAATTTAGCACTTATATCATCAAAACCTGTAGCTATTCTGACATCAAGTTTATCAAATTCATTTAAAATGAATTCACTGCTCCAGTGGCCTACATGGTTAAAGCATACATCTTGGATGTGGGAGGTTGTGGGTTCAAACTCCCCAAGTTGCACCAAAGACTTATACAAATGGTACTAGCAGCTGCATCCCTTGGCACGCAACATTTAGAGGTTAGTGTTAGGACTGGTTGGCCTGTTGTCAGGATATTGTGACTGGGTGGGACATGATGCTACATGTCTGCAGCATGATGCCCCAATGCTATACGTCACTATAAACTGCCAAATGGCAGACATCATAGCGATATGACTTAATTTTTTAAAGCTACATTAAAAATCCAGATCTTTCTCACACACACACACACACACACACACACACACACACACACACACACACACACACACAAAATTAATTATTTTAAATCAGTCTTCCTTTCCAAGTTTTCAGGATAGATGCTCAATTAATTCATCACTGGAGAATCTTTTAAGAGCTGTGAGATCCATGAGTTTTTCATGTACATTCACAAAGTTTATTTGTCTTGAGTCTGGATACATGAATTAAATATATTTACAACTATCAGATACAACTTGAATTTATATGTCAACCTCATTAATATGTCAACATATTACCCTGTATTAAATGCCCTTCATTCAAGTTTAGCCTTCAAACTTAATATGTATAATATTTAATAAGATCAGTTACTAATAGCATATGGTGAAGTACAAAAGTTTCTTGTCACTTGTCTATAGTATTTTATGAAGTTTCTTAGAGTACCACCACTAGCACATGCATGAAGGTTCCATGGAATACCTCCACTGGCACATGCATGTATGTTCCATGGAGTACCACCAATAGCACATGCATGAAGGTTCCATGGAATACCTCCACTGGCACATGCATGTATGTTCCATGGAATACCACTAATAGCACATGCATGAAGGTTCCATGGAATACCTCCACTAGCACATGCATGTATGTTCCATGGAATACCACCAATAGCACATGCATGAAGGTTTCATGGAATACCTCCACTGGCACATGCATGAAGGTTCCATGGAATACCTCCACTGGCACATGCATGTATGTTCCATGGAGTACCACTAATAGCACATGCATGAAGGTTCCATGGAATACCTCCACTGGCACATGCATGTATGTTCCATGGAGAACCACCAATAGCACATGCATGAAGGTCCCATGGAGTACCACCACTGGCACATGCATGTATGTTCCATGGAGTACCACCAATAGCACATACATGAAGGTTCCATGGAGTACCTCCACTAGCACATGCATGTATGTTCCATGGAGTACTGCCACTATCATGTGAATGTAGACTCCTTGAAGTACAACATGCATGCAAAATCTTTGAACTACAACCACTGGCACATAAAGGACTATGCCTTGCACATGGATGTAGATTTATGGGCTTTCACCACTAGCACATGCAGGGCCAACAAGAGTGGGGGGTCACTATGGATATATCCCCAGTGCCCAGGCCTGCAGGCCTGGGCCACACAACACTTTTTAATTTTATAAAAGAAACATTGTTTGAACAAAACCTAGGAGAGGCCCAAGTGTTTCTTACCCCAGTGCCTGTGATTGCTCTCTGTGTCCCTGAGTACATGAATGAAGGTTAATGAAGTACCACCACTAGCACATATAGTTCTAAGAAGTACCACTGCTAGCACATGTGAAAAAAAAAACAACAGTTCTTTGGTATCTTATGCAGTTTTTCATTTTGTTTCACTTTCCTTAAATCTACATTTTCCCAAAAAATGTCTTCATCCATTATAGTTTTGTTTAGAATTTTTATTTGCATATATTTATTAACATCTTGAGAGATTTTTTATTTTGATTGGCATTAACCAATGAGATAATTCCTTCTACGACATGATTACTCCCACCTTGGAGTCAAGGTCTTAATCTTAGGAAATTTTGTATTAAGGTTTTTGTTCAAGGCTTTTAAATTGCTTGTGTATCTTAGATTATCCGACAGGTTCTTATCATATTTGCATGAATCAGTTTGAAATCATAATTTATCCTTTGACTTACATACTACCTCCTTTGACAATGGGGTTGAGGACTCAAGTTTTAGTGAAAATCTTTTATTTGCTTACATTTCCTGAACTTGATGTGTGGTCCTCATACTTGGAATGATTCAAAGTTCATTCATTGACACTCTCTTGATACTTTGACCAGTTTCAAGGTTACAGTGATAGAAAATTCACTTACAGTTTTGGTTTAAGTTTTGTTTTCATTTCTTTGTATTTAAACCTATTGATGGATTTTCTTAATACCTAGGATGAGTCATAAAGAATCTAAGAGAATTCATGCTGTGATCAACTTCTTCAGCTTTTGGGGCATTGGGAATCTAAGAGAATCTATTCTGTTACCAGCTCATTCAACCTTTCAAGCCTGGAGATGAGATCACATTTATTTTTACAGTAATGGTTTGATGAATAGATTTATTTTTATCATTATGTTTGGCACAAACACACATGTATTTACATAGCACAGTTG